TCCTTCTTCCCACATGACATGAACCTCCCCCCACACACATCCACAAAGATCCAAACACATATCCCAGATCTCCCAGTCACCCCCTGGGAATCTCCTCTAGTATCTCCTCTATAGTCAGGGCTTTCATGCAAAAGGAACTAATTTTTCTCTATAGATTCAGGGTTCATGAAAAGAGACGGCTTGCAGGAAAAGCGACTGTTTTTGTCGCTCCTTCAGGTCAAATTCTTCCGTGGTCTTCTTCTTCTTCTGAGGTTTCTGATTGGACAACTGCACAATCCAAGCTTCGATGTCTTGAAGCTCCTGTCTTGTATCAGATTCAATCTGACTTCTCAAAGTGTCCCAAGTAGCCTTGTTCATTCCCTCACGGAAGAAACAAGGTAACCAATGGTTTCTGAGACTTTCAGGATCGTAAAGAGCGTTTGTGCTCAACAGGCACCACTGTTTCGGAGATTCACGGTGAATCTCCTCAGGTCCCTCCAACCCAAGGCTTGCCGGCATCCTAGAATCCAGAATCCTCATAGCTGGCACGGGCTCTAAGTCTTCACGTGTATCGAAGATAATCGCCAAATATTTCTGATGTTCTTGCGCAAAAAGCTCAGCATCTGCTACATCTAGGTATTCCCCGCGTTTCGCGATTTTGTCTGCATACTTGGAGATCTCTTCTGCTATCCTTGGGTCCGCAGGATCAGCTGACAATCCTGCGGCAGAAGAAGCATCTGTACAAAAGTGCATAAAACTTGTCGGAAAGAAGAGAAAACCAGAGACAACATGAGAAATATGAGAGGCGGGATTTTGTGTGGGGTTGTCCTGGCTCTGTCTTGTCTGCTGCGCAAAGCTCACGCTTCACCTTGACCAGTTCCTTCTTGACGGCAACAAACGGGACGACCTGCTTCTGCTGATTCTTGTTCTCATGACCGGGATTGAATTCCGAATTCTTGGACGCCGCCTCCCTCGGGCAGCTAGTGGCAATTGGACAGAGGCCCTGGCTCTGGCCCTCCAAGCTCAATGTCTTTGAGGCGCCGGCAGCCTGAACTTCTAGTGATTCTAGTGGAACTTTTGGCAATGTCTCCTCATTAGGTGTGGCAGGATCAGAGGTCAGCTTCTCCTTTTCCTGCCAGCATCGAAGAAGACCAACCACATCCTACCAACATCGACGGCCCCAGCAAAAAAATCCAAACATATGAAAAAACCTACATAAATTAGATTAAATTAGAACGGTGCAGCCGCTACCCGCATTAGCCGCTCCTGATCCGTCTGATCCCCACTTGTTTGCATGCCTGGACCAGAAACATCAGGTACGGCCTTGGCAGAGACGGGGGATGCAGTCTCTGGCGCTTCT